GGTTGGCAGGATCACTGGTTCGTTGATATGGAAATGGAAGACGATTTTGGGTATGAATCTTGGGTCTTAAGACTACTCCATCCTTATGGAAAATTGTATATGGTGGCGTGGCCATCATGGCGGAAAGCTCGCACACTCTGTGTGCCGATGTTATGGCAAGCAGGAAAACGGTTTTCAAAGTGAGGTAATGCAAGGATACAGTCGCCAGAGGCTCGAAAGACAGCCTCATTAGGGCGTCAAGGACTATATCCAGGTTCCACACAGATTGGACTGGGTCGTGCGTTGGGGCCATGTTGGTAAGGACCTTGAGAAATCTCTTAGTAGTACGATGGGCGAAGACAGAAACATCACCTATCGGTGATGTGAATGCTGATATTGCTGTGAGGTGTACCCTGATGGAGGCTAATGCAAGGCCTTGTCCTTCAGGTGCAACACCTAGTCCAGTACGGAGGGGATCAACGGATGTGTCTGATCGTGGTGGTTTAAGGTACACCAGGAGGAGAATCTGCGCCACTTGTGAAGGTAAGTTTTTCTCGTGGTTTGTCGTCTACTGTGTACTAGGACGTGTTGGATTGGAACGGAGCAGAGGGATTCGAATGGAGTCAGCCAGTTAGGAACCATGCTGTTAGGTTCAAGGTTTGAATCTAGGGGTGTTTCAGGCGTCCTCGGTCTTGTGTGAGGAGATTGTGGAGAGGCGGAAGGCGGATCAGTGTCCGCACGGATAGAGGAGCAGTGCTGGCGAGGCCAGTCCAGGGCTATGAGGATTAGCATTGCCCCAACCGCCTTCAGCTTCTGGAGGATTTGGGGATCAGAGGTATGGGGGGGAATGCATAGAGAAGGGTTCCACGACAAGTCATAAGGAAGGCGTCCCCCAGGGATGCGCAGCCTAGGCCCGCCCTGGTGCAGTACTTGCAGCATTTTGTATTGGCGGGAGTTGCAAAGAGGTCCACTCAGGGAGTACCCCAACGTTGGAAGATCTCGCATAGGACGCCATCATGCATTTCCCATTTGTGCTTCACATGGAAGTGTCTTCTCAGGAAATCTGCCGTCATGTTTGTGGTGCCAGGTAAGTAGGATACTGTAGGTGTTATTCCGTGGCGCATGCACTAGTTCCAAAAGTGGATGGCTTCTATGCATAGGGAACAGGAGCAAGCGCCGCCCTGGCGATTCACATAATACATGGCTGTGATGTTTCCGTGAGTATTCTCACCGTGGTGTTTTGAATGTAGATGAGGAAGGATTTGCATGCGTTGAAAATGGCACGTAGCTATAGAAGGTTTTTGTGTAGGCGTGCTTCTTGTGGGGACCATTGGCCTTGGACTGAGAGGGACCTCATGTGAGCCCCCCCAGCCTAGCAGGGAGGCATCTGTTGTGATTTGGTGGAGTGGCTCCTGCCGATGGGAAGGGAGGTGGCGGTGTTACCGGCTTGCAGAGATCGTATCTGGTATGGTCATATACAAGAGTCAGCCAGTACTGAAGGGCGCGCAGATGCAATCTGCCGTATTTCACCATATATGTTGTGGCGGCCATATGGCCCATCAGTCTGAGGCATGTAACAAGTGGAACGGTAGGGCTGATGGTGATGGTATGAATGAGGTCTTGTATGGCTTGAAACTTTTGTAAGGGTAGGAACGCTCGGCCAGCAAGTGAGTCCATGCAGGCCCCAATGAACTTGATGTTCTGAGTGGGGTGCAAAATGAACTTTTGCTCGTTGAGGAGGAGTCCAAGCGACTGAAAGACTTGCCTTGTGAGGTGAGCCATCTGGGAGACCTCGTGTGCAGAAGGGCCCTTGAGTAAGCAATCGTCCAGGTAAGGGAAGATGAGTACCCCTTGGTGCCGGAGGAAGGCCGTGGCCAAGGATAGAACTTTTGAAAACACTCTGGGGGCTGCTGATAGCCCGAAGGGGAGGACATTGTATTGGAAATGGTCCTTTGCCATGACGAAGCGTAAGAACCTCCTGTGAGCTGGATGGATAGGGACATGGAAAAAGGCATCCTGGATCTAACGCAGGGATTATGGCAACTAAAGTCGTCATTTTGAATAGTTGTTTCTTGAGATATTTATTCAAACTGAGGCGATCTAGAATTTGGCGCCAACCTCCGGACCTCTTCTGGGTGAGGAAATAATGCGAGTAAAAGCCCCTGTTCCTGAAATCCTTTGGGACTGGCTCTATGGCACCCAGAGAGAGAAGGACTTCTACTCGGAGGAGGACCTCATGAGAGGGGTCCCTGAAGAGGGACGGGATGGGAGGGGTGGTTGGTGGGATGGCTATGAAAGGGATACGTAGCCAGACTGAACAATCTTGAGGACCCATCTGTCTGTAGTGATTTTTGCCCACTAATGTAGAAAGGGCCTCAACTAGTGGTGAAAAAGCTGGGTTGTACGATTCATGGTGCTGCCTGTGACTGTCTGCTCCCCCCGACCAATGCATCAAACCTGTTGCTTGTTGTTGGGAGGCATGTTCGTCCTGCCATTTGGGTTTCGGAGTCACTGAGGCCTCTGGCGAGAGCGTTGGTTGTCGAAGGGCCTCTGTTGCTGGTGTTGCTGCTGCCACTGATGTCTGATGTAGGAGTAGTCATATCTGCACTAGTATGGTGAGTACCGGCATCTCTTAAAGGGGGGAGCGTACATCCTCAGAGTTCGCAAGGTTGTTTGGAAGTCTTTAGAGGAGTGCAAGATTGAATCTGTGGTCTCTGCAAAGAGCTTATCCTTGTCGAAGGGTAAGTCCTCGACTTCGGCCTGTAGTTCCTTCGGAACTCCCGCCGCTTGAAGGAAAGAAGCTCTGCGCATAATGATGGCAATGGCAGTAGAGAGAGCAGCGGTGTCAGCGATGTCCATGGCTATTTGGAGGGACGTTCTCGCTGCTGTGTAGCCCTCTTGGATTACTGACCTCAGGATCGATTTCTTAGAATCAGGGAGATGAATCTAAGAAACAAGGGAAACAAACTAAGGGTGTATGTACAAGGAGGGAACTAGAAATAATCGAGTTCAATGAGCTAAATGAAGAGCATGGTTCCAAGCATCTGCAGCCTGAGGCAGTGAAGAGGAACTGGCAGGGGGCCGGACCGCATGAGACAGAAAAGAGCGTGAAAGCTGAAAGTCTGCGGCACATGCGCGGTCCGGCCGAACACTGCTCATCACAAGATTCCGTCTGTAGCACCGGGGCAAGCCCAGCACCCATAGTGGAGCACCCGCGGGGACATCCTTGAAGAAGTAGTAATTTTTTCAACATTTCTTGCACACCAGAAAACCTAAAAAAATGTTCAGAAACAGCAACTTATTGTGTTTCTGAAATCAAATATATTCCATGGTCCAGCAGTAGTGCAGCAGTAAAACTGAAAAAAATGTGAATTTCAGTTGGCAACTGTGGAGGTTCCCTGCCCCAGTGTGGGATTCCTAGAGCAATAAGATTCTCACATCTGCTTGGAAAGCCCTGTTTCTTGCCAGTTATTTTCATATTCTCCTCTCCACCATACACATATATTCCTTACAAGCTCCATGTTATTATATCCACTGCAATCTAGTCACAAGCCCTCATCTGTTGAGTGATGGCGAACGTACATCTTAAATAGAATCCACAAACTGATTTGTCTTAATAAAATATTACCTTTATAATGCAGTTAAGGTCAAAGTCATACAGGTTGTGTGATTGGTAAGCAACATTTGCATTATTTATTGCTATCTTAAGCAATCTGAAATATTGTCAGAAATATTATTTATTTCTGTAGTACCTTAAAATGTACACAGCACTTTACAAATAGGAAAAACACAATATCACTATGCCAGTGTGTTTATAATATAAGAAGCAAGCCTTTATTCATCAATCTTGTCCCACCTATGTGTGATTAATTTGGTAAAGACTACTCACATGAATAAAAATCCTAATCTAGTGGTTCCCAATCTTTTTGAACATACCCCTTTTAATTTATTAGCATTTCACAGACACCCCACAAACGATCCATTCTTGCTAGTCCAACTAAACTTTTCCTGCCACTCGAATAGCTTTTGAATGGCTAGAGAGGAGTGACGTATTCAAAAGAAAAAAATGGTAAAAAGTGACTGACCTGTTTATAAGCCAACTCCAGAGTTCAGTCGCAGCTTGTCAGCTTCAATATGAGCTGAGGGATGCGCCGACTGTAGGGCACGGAGCTTCTCAGGTCCCACTGGCTGCTGTTTGCCTGCGCTGCTTTCTCACCTGCTGTCCCCTCCATTCCTTGCCCATCCAAAGAGCAAGGGGGATCTCATGGACAAGGAAGCTCTAGAGCTACCAACTCCTCAAGGGTGGAATTTTGGGAGGGTAGGGGGCAAGGGCAGAATTTTGGGAGCATGTGGGGGGGAAGAGTAGCCATGAGCACCAGGACACAGCTTGCTTTTGATCCCATTCCCCGGACGCTAAGGGAGCGAGGGGAAAGTGCTTATATCCTGTGTATGCCTCTCATACACCAGCTAGGCGTGGGAGGCATTCATGGCATGCAAGCACTTTCCACATGCTCCCTTAGCTTCCAGAGAACAGAATCAAAACCAAGCAGTATCCTGGTGTGCACGGTTACTCCATCCCCTGTGCTCCAGCATGGGGAGGAAGAAGAAAAGGAAAAGAAAAGTAAGGATCGGGCCCTTCCTTTAAAAAATTTTCTGCGGACCCCTGACAGTGCTCTCATGAACCCCCAGAGGTCCATGGACCACAGATTGGGAACCACTGACCTACCCAATTCCCTCTGAAGTCAACAGGAGACTCTCAATACAGATCTCCAGCCTTTTGTATTGAAACTGAAAGATACCAATCCACTTGAAAGAGAACTTTCATTTAATCTATTTTTTTTTAATTAAGCAGAAAGGAAAACAGAAAAGCAGTTAATTTTAAATATATTTTGTACAATATTATTATTCTGTACGTGTTCTTTCTTTAAATGTATTGCAGACTGAAACAATCAACCACCAAAGGACAAAGACTGGCCTGTAAAATCTAAAGGAAAACAATAAAAGTGACTAAATTACAGTACCTTTAATTTTTCAGTGGCATCACAATCTGGACTTGACTTGCATCTTCTTAATGTGCTTTTTGACTACAAATAAAATAAAATTAAAATAGAGCTATCATAGTCCATGTCTAGTAAAAGTGGAGCCTTCATTTACTTAACTCTCAATTATGCAATTTTTAAAAAATGATAGTTTTTCCTGACAAATTTTCTGTTTTACAGCTGGTTTAATGCTATGAATGTCAATGAAGAACTAAGATTACAAAGTCAGAATTAAAACAAAAGCAGAAAAACATTACTTATATTTCTTATTATCAAGTCTTGGTTTTTTGGTAGATATGAAACTTAATACTAGTCTAGTTATGTTATTAAGTACATACCGTGAAATATTACCAAAATAAATTTTTTTATTGATTTGACAACTAAAGTTGCATGAGGACACACCCATCCCTCACAGATCTTGAAATCATGAAAATAAAAAGCTAAAGGTAAAATCTCTAACATTCTTTCCCACATTCACTTTACCTACAATGCTGTCAATGACACACTCCAATATTCCACAGGATAGTCACTTCATCTCCAACAGCTATAAAACAGCAGTCCCATCCAATTCATAATCTAACACAAAAACTTAATAGTAATCTCTTCTACTATATATTTGAGAGAGTTTGCCTATGTGTGAGTGTATCTGTGTGTCCATCTGTCTGTCTGTTCAAGAACTCCTCCTAAACAGTAAGCACTAGGACCACCAAATCCAATGTGCAGCTTCCCTTTATCATAAGTTAAACCAAGGTAAAAGTTTGGTTGTGCCAAGAAAACAGGATGTGCCTGAAATGGGATTGCTTCTCATAAAACCATACAGAAAAGAGACAGAATCAAAAGGCAAGTGAACGGGGCTGCACCCCACTCTCATCCGGGACTGCCCCAGTGCTGAGCCTCCGAGTCTCCAGGCACCCTCTAGGGAGGGCAGGGGACATGTGAAGCTCCTTCTCCTGATTCATATGAGGATGTTGCTGGATGTTCCCCTTTGTTAATGAGTCTGGGGAAAATGCAGTTTGCTGCATTCCTCACTCTGGCTGGGAAGCACAGGGGGGCAGATGAACCCGGATCTGCCCTAGCCAGGGAACATGCTCCCCTCCCTTGGCTGTACCCATTCAAGCTACAAGGGCCACGGAGATGCGCTTTTCACCTTGCCCCAACCTGCTATGGTAAGAAAGGGCTGGTGTAGTCCTCTCTCCCCAGAACCACCTGCATACTGAAACCTTCAGCTAAACCCCACCCCAGAGCAATAATTTAGATGAAGAAAAATGAAAATTAATTGAATTAAGAACTTGAACAATGTCAGATAAATCTTCTAGCATGTTTCATATTTACAGATTAGCACAGTGGTCCCCAATGCGGTGCCTGTGGGCGCCATGGTGCCTGCCGGGGCATTTATGTGTGCCCACCAAGTGACCAGGGCCAGCCTAAGCCATTCTTGCACCCCAGGCCCCAGGCACCCGGCGCATGCGCGGCCGCTGCCCCCGAGCGCACGGCACATGCACAGTGCCACCCCAGGTACACAGCACGTACATGGCCCCGCCCTCACCTAGCCCAGCAGCCCCAAAAGATTGGGGACCACTGGTTTAGCATATTAGACTATCACATGGATCATTCATTTGGAAAGTTATTCTGCCTTAATTCTACTGAGATTGTCACCACAGTTTTGCACATGAAAGTGAGCTGGATGAAGCTGGGTGCATACTGCTTTTTATTAGATGTATTCCAATAAGCTAATGCTGTTGTCCCAGCAGCAGCCTGTATGCCCGCTGAACTCCTGGTCAGGCTAAAATGTGCAGTAATATAATCAGGGGCTATTCTTCACTTGAAAATGAAATTAAGTTAGAACATGACTTAGAAGAATTGTGTTAGTTAAACTGGTGTTAAATGTTGCTTTGCAATAGACAGTAAAGACAGAGACAAGGCAGTTTAACATAGTGTCACCTTGTCAAGGTTAAATATATGGTTTCATTAATTTACTCTCAATCAGCTAACACTATTCTAAATGTAAGGGGACTGTTACCCCTTACTAAAACTCTGTGGGAGTTTTTTGGTTTACCAGCTTCAGAAGGGGAAGGGTTCATGAGACTGACAGACCCCAGAGACAATGGAAAGCAGTCAACACTCCAGCTCAGCCTGACTGACAGGTTGTGAGTGAGGATTGTTCTGGCTCTGTCTCTGAACAAACAAGCTGTGTGCAGAAGAGGTCCTGCAAAGACAGAGAGCTGAAAGAGGAGTACAAGAAGAAGTCCTGCAGCGACAGAACCAGACACAGACAGGCCAAGCAGTGCAGACCCTGTGTTGAGCAGCAGACTGGCAGTGCTCAGAAAGCCAAAAGGAACAGAGAAGCAACACAAAGAGCTGGAACTGGCCAAGCAGCACAGCCTGCAGCTGGATGTGGTGAGCTACTGGGACCTGCAAAGTGTGGGGAAAGGCTCTGGACTGGGAGAGGGGTCTGGCCACTTAGAGACTGAGGCTGTGGGGTCACTGCCAGTGCAAGCGTGTCCAGCCTGCAGCCCCTTGCAGCACATCCAGGGCTTCTAAGGAAGAGACTGTGAACTGTCCTTACACTCTGCAGACTGCTGTGTGGATGTGCCTGTGCTACAGAGCAGGGCTGTGTGTTCTCATTTAACCATTCTCATTGTTTCTTATTCTATTCTCTTTAATCAGTTGATGTTTAATAAATTGTATTTGCTTTGAACCTTATGAAGTGATCACTGGGCCAAGAAGGCCTGCAGTGTAAAAAGAGCACCTCGGAGTGGGGACACCCTAACTCCTGCCCCTAGTGACTACAAGGTCAGGGATTAAGCCCCAGGAAACCTGGGCCCAGCCTTGTTGGGGTTTCAAGGGCTCTGCTACTCAGGAGAGTGGAGGGGGAGCCCTCCGGATCAGGGAGCCGTGGGGTAAAGGAAGTGGGAGCGGGGACTCAGATCCTTTCGCTGGTTCATTTCACCGGGGGGTATAGAAGCCAGGAAAGTTCCCCACAAGAGCGGGACCATTCCCCCGCTTACATAAACACGGAGATCCCTGACTGCAAAATCACGCTTAACAGCATGTTAGCTAACATCAGCCACAGTTGTGTTCCAACATAACCTACTTTTCTAGTGAAGAAAAAATTGGATGCATTTTCTTTCTATAAATTTCTTTCCAAAATAACTGTTAATTGCACTACGCAGAGCCCTAAAGTATTACATAATCATTTTATTTTAATGTGATAGGATGTATCATGCCTACTGAGGCTCTCTTTAGTCCCCATGCCACCCCAGGAAAGATACAGTGAAGGTTGGTCCTCCAGGCTTGCCTAGATTGTTTGCTTCTCTGTAGCCTTAACAGAGAACTGCTGGCTCAGATAAAAGGAGTTGCAGGGGCTGATCAAGACAGTTCCTGGCTAAGACCAGAAGAGAAAAGACTGAAAAATTCTCCAGGCAAAGAGGCTATGACGAGACACTCCTCAAATAGAAACAGATGAAGGGAATTCAATGATGAATGGAAAGCAGCCCAGGGAATGCAAGAATATCAATTATAAAGGGAAATAGTATGTAGCTACTGCTTATAGGGTCCCTGGGTTTAAACCCAGAAGAGTGCGGAGGCCTGGGCAAGTATCTTAAGCCCTGATATTGGGATAAGGTTTATTTAGAAGCTCAAGCACAAGGCTGTAATTTAAAGCGCTCAAGGACAAGGCTGAAGATACTAGTAAGGAAAAATAGACTGTCTGATGAACTCTTAGTTAACCACCCCAGGAAGAGGAATGAACTTAAGCAGTGACCTGACTGGAGAAGTGAGAGAGTGAGAAAGAACTGTGAAGGACAGCCTCCAGGGAAAAAGCCCAGGAGGTAGTTCTCTATAGTAAGACAGAGATGGACTTAAAGCTAGCAAAGAAGGGGATGAGAACTGAGACCAGGGACAGGGCTGCAGATATCCACAAGGGCACAATGATAGTCCTGATTGAACCTTTGCTACCATAGAAAGAGTTCATCCATTCACCTATTAACTGGGTGATTCAGCCACTGTGCTTAGGGTTACCAGGTGTCCAGTTTTGAACCAGACAGTCTAGTATTTGAGCTTTCTGTTTGGGAAACAAATTGAGAAAATATAAATGAGAAAATATAAATATCCGGTATTTTCTAAATAAGATGTAATGTAGATTGTGATGTAATGTCAAGCGTGTCCGGTATTTTTTGTTGAAACCATCTGACAACCCTAACTATGCTGAGCAACTGAAGACCTATCTACAGCAGCCAAACTGGGGTACCAGGCATGGAGAGAAAGAGTGCAGGATCACATCGAGCTGACAGGAAGCTCTTACAAGAGATGAGTACCCTCCATTGCAAACAGACACAAAGTGTAAGGAGAAAAGGGTCTTTAGACTGTGTGATGGATCTCTCCATATATATATATATAGAGAGAGAGAGAGAGAGAGAGAGATTCCCATACATGAAGGGAAAATTCAATTTACAGTTGATCTCACTGGACTGCTATACTAAAATATCCAGCATTCTGAGTCAAGAACATTCTAACTTTAAAGAATGAAATATGACATGTTATGTCTGTTCACAAATGAAGCAATTTTAAATATTGTATTTCAATTACTCAGTAAAAATACTTTCAACATAAGAATACCAGAAACAGTTAATTGGCACAAAATATTTTTATCCAAATATTCAGAATGTTTTTGTTAAGCCCTTAATTCTTGGCAAGGAAGCAGTTGGGATTAATTTAAATTGAAAGCTATCTTACTGAAATACATACATACCACCATGTAACTGTATATGTCAAGATCATCCTCAGACTCTGAGTCTTCATCTTGAAGATCAGCTGAAAAATCTTCAACTACAACACCCTCAATAACATTGCTCTGTAACATTAACGTATTTAATATTAATGTTATATTATTATTAAAATTTTAAATGTTACAATAAATACAGCAATGTGCCACTTACTATAGCACATACTTTAGCTAATCTAATGTTTTTATAGAATTATAATTTAGTTCACATCTAATATGTGCAGACACTGTGGGCAAGACTCTGTTATGGTCAAGATCTGTTTGATGTGACAGCGGGTAAGGCTGCCACCAAGGGCTAGTATTCCCTGATTCTCTAAACAGCTGTTTCCTGGCTTTGGTAATTAATGCCAAAAGGCAATCATCCTCAACACAGCATGTAACAGTTAAGAGTAGCCAGAGCACAACTTACTCTGGCTGTACTCCATCATGATGAGACTGAGAGCGAGTGGCATAAGAACTAGCTATGCCAGGTTTAATTCTGCTGTAGACTCCCCTATGCATAAGAAAGAATCTTTTTTTTAGTGCATCTCTAGCACTAGAGCAATGGTGGACAACCCAGAACCGCTAAGGTCAGCCATTCCCATGGCCGGGCCACTCTGAGCCACATGCATGCTCACTGCCCAAGCCATTCCATTCATGGTCCCCAGTACACTGCGTCATATCCTGCATGTGCAGGATGGGTCGCACACAGCGTCCCAGCCTGCACTTGCTAGTAGCCATCTGCTGAGTGGGCTCCGGGTGTGGCGGCGGCACCAGCATTAGTTCCAGCTCCAAGACCTGGGCATAAAGTTAATGGGAATGGGGAACTGGGTTAGAATGGGGGGGAGATGCCTGGTTCTGGAGAAGAGGAAGGGAGAGGAGGGGGGATCAGGTGTGAGGGGTGCACGTGGCATCCCAGATGCGTGGGGCGGTAGCAGTGGCTCTGGTTCTGGGACCCAAGCATAAGGTGGGGGGGGGAGGAGGATTGAGTTACAGTGGGAAGGAGAGGTGTCTGGCTCTGGGGGGGGGGGGGGGAATTGGGTTGGGGGGGGGGGATGGGCTGGGT